TTTGCCTATTGTCCTGTAGCCCATCCCAGCCTTGTGCAGGTCTACAATTTTGTCCCTAGTGTCCTTAGACAGCTCTTTGGTCTTGCCCATAGTGGAGAAGTTGGAGTCTGATAGATTGAGTGTGTGGAAAGGTGTCTTTTATACAGGTAACGAGTTCAAACAGGTGCAATTAATACAGGCAATGAGTGGAGGATAGGAGGGCTTCTTAAAGACAAACTAACAGGTCTGTGAGAGCCAGAATTCTTGCTGGTTGGTAGGTGATCAAATACTTATTTCATGCAATAAAATGGAAATAAATTATTTAAAAATCTAACAATGTGATTTACTGGAATTTTTGTAGATTCTGTCTCTCACAGTTGAGATGAAAATTACAGATCTGTCTATTCTCTGTAAGTGGGAAAACTTGAAAAATCGGTGGTGTATCAAATACTCATTTGCCCCACTGTATACACTAGTTACAACACTTGAACCCTCTTCCTGTTTTTAAAAGTTACCGTAAACCCCCTAAAACTGCGCCAGTGTTGTCGACGCTCACCTTCATTTTCCCACTCTGCAAGAGAGTTTTTGTCACTTTTCCTCACACTGCCGATGATCTCTGGAGGGACTGGCTCTATGAACTGGTCCAGGCTGGCAGCCGGGGAGGCTGCAGCCTTTGCAGCTCGGTCACAGTGGTCCTTCAGTCCCTTTAGATCCAGCTGAGACAGTTCCCGGAGTAAATTGGCCCTATCCTCCTCGCACAGCTCCGGCCAAAACTCCAGGACGTGAGCCTGTCCCGCACTCTCCAAGCTCTGCTTCGCCTGCTCCAGCGACAGCATTGTGTGCCTCAGTAACAAAGTGGAGTGGGCAATTTAAATATGTAGACATCCAACCGTCCTCTCTCCCATGTGCAGGGTGGAAATGACTGTCACGAGCAACTCGTGACTGCAGCTCTCTGATCCGAACAAGGATACTGCGGCCAGCTGTGCCATGATAGGCTGCAGCAGCCGAGAGGAAGGTACTGCAACAGGTTTCCAGAGGCGGACTAGTAGGTCTGAAACCCAAGGCTGGGACTCGGCCACTTCCCCCTGGTAGGACCGGAGAAGATAGAGCTGACTCAGCGTCTTTCATCCATCAGCTGACTGCACCGCCTGATAGAAAAGTCAGTCAGCTGACTAACCGACCACAAACCATTGCTGTAATATGCCATGACAGAGAGTTTTACATGAGATGCGCCTTTCTCTGTAAACCTCTACGGCTGCCCACTAAAACACTGATTGATCTTAATAAAGCCTAATTTAAAGAGCCCATGGGATGGCCGTTTGATCCTGGGTACCTCTAGATTAGTTTTGCACCCATCATAACTCCAAATAGTCTGTAATTATTATATGTAGAGACCCGTAGATGGCAGTACACAGCTACTTCCCATCCAATGTCACAGCACTTGAGAGGATCTGCCAGGAAGAATGGGACACACTGCCCAAATCCAGCTTGTAGAGATGTACCCAAGAACTGCCAAAATCTGAGCCAGACTTCTACAAAGCCCTGGATTACTCTGAATACTGAGATGGATTTATTTATTTAAGTTATTTGAAAATTGTTCTAAAATTGTGTTTTCACTTTATCAGTATGACTTAATGCATGTAGATTGATGGATAAAATAGTAGTTTTTGCCCATTTACAAATAAAAGTAAAATGCAATAAAAGGTGCAAAAAGTGAAGGGGTATGAGTACTTTCTGAACTGTACGTACACACACAGTGTGGAAAATAAGTAGCAGGTCAACATTTTTTCATCAAATATTTTAAGAAATTAAGATAATAGGTATTAACTCACTAATACTACATACCTAAAGAAATATATTATTTGCATTCAACTGGAATGATAGGAAAAAGTAATTAACACAGTAAAAGAAAGCACTGAACAAAGTGATTCCACTAATTTGTCCCTTGACTGTTGAACCCGAATTTAAAAAGTCAACAAATTTAATGTTGAACTACTTTATTTAACAACTGATCTCATACAAGCATAAATATTCTTTTTACCACAGCATTCTTTCAATGGATGCATCTACAGACAACAGCTACTGTACAAGAGCTCCCATACTCCTTTCATTTTTGACACTTACAGCTAGCATAATAAAATAAAAAATATATATATATACTGGCTTCATTTTGTAAACTATACCACCATTTAATAATATATATTCTAGTCTTCAGTTTGTACAGTATTCCCTGGTAGAGCCTGTACATTTCAAGTTCCACTGGCAATTTGCCTAACTGCTTGTTGGTCAGCACAACACACAGTAAGGGCAGCTGTTAAGACATCGGAGTGTTGCTGTTCACTGTACCAAATAAGGAAAACATTCACATGCAGCCACAAAGTTACACCATTTTGTGCTACATTTATGCTATCAGAGTGAGGGTTCAGACACACACCTGTACTATGAAGGATGAGAACACATCTGCTACAAAGACGGTACCATTTCAGAAGTAGGCGTGATGCTGACAAAAGCTGCCTGGCATTGTGAAGGTCACACACAGGCAACCCAACACGATGGTCGTTGCCATCTTGGTAGTGCTTCACTCTGCCTGGCTAATCCAAAAATGGTCAAAGAGGTGGAGTGTGTGTGGAGCTCATCAGACAGCTGGTGGACAGCCACCTGTACCAGGACCCTCCTGTCTCTCACTCAAAGCAGCCACACCTGTAATTATAACTTACAGCCTAAATATAATTGAAATTGTAGATGGTTAAATTTAAATGAATTTTAGGTCGGCCTGGAGTGGAAAAATGCCAGCAGAGTGAAAGAAATGGGCTGAGAGCTGCTACTACTACATAAATATGAACTTGACAGTTATTGGGGAATGTGGCATTATGTAAAAATCTGACTTTTGAAAAAGCATTTTGAAGAGAAAAATTAAGTAAAACTATGTTAAATCAAATAAAGACAATTTTAATAATTTCATCAATTACTTCAAATTAGTTTGTTCATTTACTGCGTATATTTTAAACAAAGTATGTATGATCTTTTATATTTTTGTTTTCATGTTCATTTTATTGCATTGAACAATTTTTCAAATCTGTCTTAACTAATTTTATTCTGGTTTTACTGCTTATTTTTAATGCTGCTAATGTTCCTCTTCCTAAGTAAACTCTGAATTGCCTCTGTGTATGAAATGTGCTATATAAAAGAAGCTGCCTTGCCTATGTTTCCTTTTTCTTTTGTTAATCCTTTCTGGCGTTGACTTTGAAGACCATATTAGAGTCACTCGAAAACAAAACTTGGCCTCAGTCCAAGACCATATATGATGGTAAAAATCAAAAAGGCATATAAAATGAAATTCTTCAGCAAAGCTAACAGATCACAAATCCATTCATTCATCTTTCTGGGGAAAAAAGAAGGTATTAAATAAAACAAAGAGAGAAAAGCAGAGTACCTTAAAGTGCATTCAGTGTCCCACAAACTAGGGACGTTATTTGAGAAGAGGCCTGGCACATAAGGCACTCATGGGAATCTGCGTCTGACAGAGGCATCAGTCAGGCTGGGAGCACTGGATGTCCTGCCATGCGACTTAAAGGACTGATTATTTACATCATACAAGACTAGGGAATGTCTTTAGTCTTTAGGGAGGTTAAATATTAATTAAAGATGCAGGTCTCAACAGCATTCAAAAAACTGTAACAGAACTAACATTTAAGTGCTTCTCAGAATGTCTCTCCTACAGCTAATACAATTTTTTGTATTAGCTTTTTGTAAGTGAAAACAGTTTGAAAGTTGAACATGTTGAACATATGATAACTGATAAATTGCCCAGGGAATATGGAGGGTAGAGGTGTATCCCACAGAGCACTGTGTTAGTAGGGGCACTAACCTCTGACCTATCAAAATATTACAGTATGACTGAACATACTGTAATACTAATCTCTCAGTTGCATAGATTTATAAAATGTTGCCAGCTGACTGTGACAAAATAGCCCCTCTCAGATTCTGCAAATGAAAACACAACTGTGTTTGGGGTCAGATACAATATTTTCCATATGACAATCTAGACTACGTATTCCTCAACAGTACTATCACAGATCAACACTGTTAAACACAAGGAAAAGTAGTCACTTGTTTTCTGTAAGATCGGGATCAGCTGATGTCTGAGATTTTCAAAACCAGAGAGTTGCTCTTAAGTGAAAACTGAGTATGCCTGCTTTAGCTGCAACTACGATAACACTGGTGAACGTGCACACACTGATCTGAGAATGTATATAGTAAATGGTGCAACTATAGCAACGATTCTAAAGTTTATTTGGTAGGGAGTGCAAAGTTGTGGGCATCCACAGAATCTAAAAGCAGGCAGGCTCATTTATCCTGATCTGTTGTGTAAGTGGCGAGTGCTCACTATTACACCCAGCTCCAAAGTCAAAGGTAGACAAGTAGCTTCAGTCAGCATTTCTCCTGTTGCTGCTGCCCTCACTTAGTTTACTGGTAGATACTAAACACACATTTTCTACAGACAGATTCTATTCAATAACTACATAACTGGTAAAAGAAAAAACACAACCTTCTACAAATGAAATTTTGAAATGAATAACAAACCAAACATACCTGTCTCAACATAATGTAGCTACAACCTCAAACAGTCCAGTACAACCATAACAAATGCTGGCAAACGTCAGACAGGTTAGTGTTGCTGTGTGACTGACATTACAGAGTCAGGTCACCTTGCTATTACTGTGCAACTGTCACACTACATTTCAGTAGCTCTACACCAAACAGCAGGAGAAATGTTGTTTCCTCCTTGTGGTCACATTTTACTCTTTAAAGCAAGTGACTGGAGGATACAAAAGACATTCAGTGTTCCTTTACCTTGTCATTTTCGCTTGTTGATGCAGTGGACGCTATTCAGCAACAGTCTCATCTTCTCACTTTAAATGGCGATGCTGAGAAATTCAACTATTCTCTAAAATTCAAGTTAGAAGACTGTCACTGCTCTACATATTTACATCACAGACCATCAAATTGCACAATCACTTTAGTTGTGATTTGTTTCCCTCATATGCATTGCTTATGGTCCATTATTCTGCACGAGTCCTTTGCACTGGAAGTTAATGTTTTCAAAATTCTGTCTTCATGTAAGGTAATGCGAACAAGGATAAGAGGTAGTACTAAAAGTGCTTCCCAATCCAAATCTGAATGTATTTTTACTAATCTCCTAGTGTTCTTTTCACCATGGATCACCTTATTAACAGAACAAAGCTGCGGCTCACATCTACATCATTATAAAGAGCAATATTACATGCAAAAGAGGAATTTACATACCTGCAGAGGGTTTATCCACCTCAGCTCTGTGCAGTCAGATAAGTAGTGTCCCAGTGTTTCAGTAGAGAGACATGGGAAACGCTTTGTGATATGCCTTAGCAAAGCCCTTCAAAATAAAGATTCTTCCTTTACACAGAGCAGCAGGACTACATCTACTACAACACTAACTCAGAGCAGGCAGGCACATTTTACTGGCACACCGGTAAACACCTTCAGTGAATTCAGTGTAAACTTTTGTCTTGTCTTCCTAAACAAAGGTGACAGGTGCTGAAGCGCTTCTGGACCACTAACGGAATGATGAAAAAAAAAAAAAAACAGAAGCTTCAGTGAAGCTTCTTTCACCAAAAAGCCTTCATTAGTGTGTACGAGTTCTTGTTCCTCTTCACTCACTTCATCATAACATCTGACATTTCTCCTTTGACACCTTGAATCTGAGCATTTGATTTAACTGTGTAAAATTTCAGCTGCTTGTTTCTTGGGTCCCAACAAGCATCAGCACAAACGAAGAGCAATAAAAACCCTTTGGCCTCTTGAAATCTTTTGTCCACCACCCTCCTCACTTGGACTGGGCTCCCAAGGTGATCTTGAGGTACTCATATACTACGTAGCTGATGCTGACCGATGGAATAACCTTCATGAAGTTAGGTGCCAGGCCTCGGTAGAGTCCCATGGCCCCCTCTGTCCTAATGATGTGTCTGAACAGGCCTGTCATGTTCATCTGAGGGCCTCCTTCCAGAGTAGCTGAGGAAGACAGATGGAGGACATGCTCATCAAACACACACACAGCTGCTGGCTTGCTGGCTCCTGGGGCACCTATGAACAAGTTCATGAACACACACCATGCCCAATAGATCCAATCTGGATTTTAAATTGGAATAAAATCATTTTACATTAAAGCTTTAAATGTGTTTTCAGACACTATCCCCATTGTTTTCTTTGTAAATACAACTATTGCTCTCTGTGTTAATGATGGTTCAACTTTCTTCAACTTCAATTAGCAGGAGCCACTTTAACTATCTGTATTCCCTCAGTTATTAGTACACCTTAAACTAACAAAAAACAAGAAGGTCTCCAACATAGTCTCCAAAGTTTAATTATCCAGTCTGAGCCAATACAAAAGATATTAATTAAACCTGTAGTTAACAGTGTCAAATTACTCACAGTTCTGTTTATTTCAAGCTACAATCCACCGTACTGCAGCGAGTTCTGATGCTGAAGCTAAATTCTACAGGTTGTCAGCAGGACCAGATGTAGCTGGCACATAAATGTTTAAAAAGAATGTGTTGCATTTTTTTTTTGTGCTTAGAATGTTTCATAGGGTACAAATAAAACTGGTGAAGCTTTTGTGAATGAAACCTTACCACAAAGGGAGCAGAACAAACAGCCTTATATAAAGGTTTAGTTGCATTGCATAGATCAAATCTCATTCAGTTCTGCAGTGACTGACCTTGTGCCTGCATTCGAGTCCTGACCAGGGCAAGCGGGTAGCTGGCCAGCTGGCCACATGTGCTTGAAGTGGTGCCACAAGCCAGGAGCACAAACACTCCTGGGTCTGCGCTGTCTGTGGCAAAGCGCTGCAGCCATGAATTCTTCAGAGTCTAACAAAGGAGAGGAGAGCAAAGGAGTCAGACTCAGCTAAAGAAATCTTCAACAAGTTATCCCTCCACAGCAACCACACACACCTCATAGACAGCCAGATCGATCCCAGCATAGGGAATGATGCCCAGCATGTTGGGGACGTAGCCCTTGTAAAAAGCAGCCAAACCCTCCTTCTGGGAGATATGTTTGGCACAATCCAAAATGCCCGAGTACTGACCCGTCTTTCTCAGGGCCAACCGTGTCTTCAGAACCTGAGAGGACAGGAAGTGATGTCAGGCCTTCTGACAGATAATAGCAACCTCCACTTCTAGTCCAAGACTTGTAGAAAATCCTTCATACATGAACACAGATTAATATACATACTGTATGCTGTGCATTATCATTAGACAAGTTTAAAACAAGTTGCTTGTTATGACCCTCATTTACATAAATGCTTTGCTCACACACTGAAGGTCTGTGAGTCTTCGTCTGGAGGTCTGTTTCCCTCCAGATAAGAAGTCACAGTACAGTTTCACATAATGGGTTCAAAGTTAAAAGTTAAAATAAGCAGTCAGTCACAAGATAAAAAATCCAACTGGAAACCTATGCATACAAACATAATGAGTCATGAGATGCTGCACAGCATTTACAGACTGAATTCAATCTTTACAACCTCAGAGTATTTTTTTTAAGTGAGGTTTTGCTTGAAAACTTGTTCTATTCTGTGTTCGTAGTTCTCTCACCTCCATGGGGTAAATGCTGCTCTGAGCTATTGCTCCAGCCAAAGAGCCGGCCACCAATCTCTCTGCGATACCCAGCGTCTCCTGGTTACTTCCAATTAATCGTTTAATCTGACAGAAAGGACATCTCTTCTTGTTAAGCAACAACACAAAACATGACAGCTTATTTGAGCCAAAGATGTACAAGTGCATACCTGTTCATAGGCCATAAACTTAATAGCAGATTCCGGGGCAATTTTGATGACATTGATGCCGTTACCTCGCCACAGTGACCTCACACCACCCTCTCGAATCATCTGGCCAAAGCCACCAGCAATACGCATGCTGTTGCTTTTAGAGGAGTGAACCTGGACAGGACAGACAGCCAGCGTGCATTCACACAGTGCTTAGTAGTCCACTTCCCTCTGTTCAGATTATTTTTAGAATGAAAACATGCCTCTTTGGGAGTCCACTGCTAGAACACTGTGTGTTGTGTTATACCTGCATGAGTACTTTGAGTCTGTCCAGTGGTGCTGTGCAGGTTCGAGACACTGCCCCAGCTCCACCTCCAGCCACTAGGTGTCGCCACCACATGCCTGTTTTCTTCTCCTCTGCTGTGAACTCATCAGGCACCAGCAAACTCTCCCCAACATCAAAGATCTGTGGAGGCAAAAGAGGCTTTCAGCCTGGTGACACTGTAATCCTGAGTATGTAAGTTTAGAAATCAACAATAACTTTAATGTGCAAGATGCTGTGATACAGACTATGATGATGATTATTATTAATGCAATAACTTAATTACTATAAATTGCTCCTATGTTTTTTCTTTACTAAATGTTATAGTCTTTGATTCACACGCTGGGTTTGACACCCATGTAGTCATGTTTGGTCTCAGAAACAACCATGGAACTTCCACAGAGATGACTCCATGAAACAAAGAGAAAGGAGATTTGGAGTGATTGATTGATTTGATGAGTGAATATATATTGGTACTGGGGTTGTTAATTCTCCATCAGTGTTCAGCATTAACAAACTTTCAGTCTGGTATCTTGTTAAGCTGAACTTGATGAAGCTGTTCTGGAATGTTTTCAGTCCTGGTTGTTAAAGCTAATCCCAGGCAACCTACAACACAAGGCTTTGTTGTTTCTGTGGTTATCCATAACTATATGCATCTAATTGAAACACCTATACTGTCCTGGCATTTGGTCGTCATTGAGAAAATATACAAAATGAGTGGTGAATTTTTTTTCTTTACTTTTTGTATTTTGGAACGTAATGCTTTGCACAGTATGAAAGAAATGCAGTTCTACATTTTTAACTTAAAGAGTCAGTGGCATGCTTTTCCTTGTTTTCTGACATCTACAATGTTACAACAGTGAATTGTCATCTTAAACATGACCTAAAGCTCAAAAAATGAGGTGTAGGTATGTTCGAGTACTTCTGTGCAAAAGAAACAAGTCTCGCAAACCCTTGCTCACGAGACTTTTATTGTAACAATGTAAAATGTTACAATGTAAAGCTTATGGTCACTTGAAGACTATGGCACAGGCAAGTAAAATAATCCAGGTTGAAGAGTGACAGACATGATCTGTGAGCCATTAATTGTTGGTTTTAATCTTTAAGCAGTGTCTGCACAACTGCATTTAAGCAGCAAAGAGGAGATTGACTTAATGTTTGTTGCAGTTGAGGAGAAAGGAAGAACATGTACCGTGGAGTGTTTCCAGTAAAGTATAATCTCAGGAATGTTGTCCACTGGATGCAGGAGGTGGTAATCCCGCCACTCATTCCAGTCAATCGTCATTGTACCATTTTTATCCATACTGGGGATAGAAACAACACAGCAGATAACAGACAAATAAATGTTTAACATAGTAAAAAGACCAGGCTATCTGCTCACATGCACTATTACTTCTCAGTGATGATCTCCTGGCTTTCTTTATGGGTTCAGTGCACTGTGTTGAAGCAGGTTGCTTTACTTGAGCACAGTGTGCCACAAGTGAATCATGATATTACCACATTGCGGCTTTGTTTTGCTAACATATGTGTTGCATGTTCCTTTGAAAGCAAAGACAAAAGTGGCAGCTGGTAACTGACACAAAATGCAGGGATGAATAGCGCATCGCTAACTGAGCAAGCGGACTAGAGAAGCTACTACTTACTACAAGACAGGGGACCAGATATGACCCCTCCTTATTCTGAGACCAGCCAGAGGGAAGAGGAAACACACAGACAGGCAGGAAGTTAGAGAAACTAGACAAGGCTCACAGTGAGATATAACAACGTGAGCCAATGAATTGTGAACTGAAAGCCTTGGTGGAGCTGTGGAAGGATTAGCAGCGGCAAGCACTCCAGCTAACTGTGATAGGCTGCGACACCTATTGGGGGGTAGATCCATACATATATACTGTATGGCTGTGGGTAGATCTACACTCTGGAGCTAAATTTGATGGAAACGCAGGAACTACATTCCAAAAACGGTTCATGCCCCAGGGCAAAGTTCCTGTAGTGGAAAGGGGATTTAGAGCAAGCATCCAGTGGTCCTCATTAGGACTGCATCTGGAGACAACACATCAGCTTCATCAGTCAGCTGTGGCATTGTGGCAGAACAAACTGCTAAGACCAGGTAGACCAGTAAGCCCTCTTCCAATATGGAATATGTTAACACTGCTGGGTTCACTGAGCTGCTACAGCGATGGCCTTCTGTCATTCAGACACAGGTGTCAGTAATGTCAGTACCCCTTACGCTTTATTCAGATATGACAGGACCTTAATGGCAAAGGGCACAAAGATGACATAACATCTGGCACCTGAAGAGGAAGCAATGTGACATGCTATGAAATAACAAAGGGACTTCATAGATACACACATTCACAAATAGGGACTGAACACAACTGTGAATCCAATAAGTGCATTAGAGACCGGATCACAGCATCACTCTCACCTTTTGAGAATCTTCTCTGCCTGATCCTCAGAGATGTTCACTCCCAGGTCACGCAGAGACTGCATGATTTCTTGTGAGTCGATCTGGCCTACACCACAGAAAGGAATTCTTTATTAATTAAAAGGCAACACCACTGGTTTTACACCTAGAGGTCAGTTTCAAATCACACAGATTGTGGGACCAGTTGCATACTGTCTTCTGTGTCTCAACTCTGAGTCTAACCTGATGAAGCAAAATCAGTGATTGGTTTCTAAACACATTGTATATATTCTCCCTTAATACAGTGTGATGAGAACAGGCCACACATTTCCGCGATTGGGCATGGTTTGCTTGCCTTTACTCGACACATCCCCAGCATTTCAGAGCAGAGAATACTCCTTATTTTTCATGATTTATATATTTAGCAATATTTTTAATTATTCCAATTTTTCTGGGTGGTTAACAGTACATTTTCCTGTGCTGCGACAAACTTAGAATATATATTTATTTCCTCATTTACCTGGACTTTAAAAAGAAAAGGCTGGCCTGTTGGGGCATGGAATTTGAAATAGGTGGGCAGTTACCAGGCAGCAAGTGTCTAATACCAAGATGCCAGATTGTAGGGTCTAGAGACATTTCATTGCATATGATTGTGTAATGATGGCACGGCTCGGCACGGCTCGGCTCTGGAGCTTGACCCATCCCAATGACACTGATTTCTTTAAGGATGTGAAGTTGGTCTACTCCATTCTCAACATCCTGCAGCAAAGTAAGTCACTAGCTGTAGCAAGGTTCCTTACCATCATTTTTTTTGTCCAAACTCTTGAAGACCAGCCTGAGTTTCTTCTCGTGGTCTCGCAGATAATGAACAAACTCCTCAAAGTCTAACTGTCCGTCCAGGTCTTTGTCTCCCGCCTTCACTATTTTCTGTAAGGAGAGGTGAGACAGGACAAATGTTTGAGGAACTTGATGGTGTCCATTGTGAAATAAACATGAGGAAATGGAGACAGGGACAGCTACAGAGAACAGACTCAGCTCATAAAAATGTTTGCTCATTTTTGTTTTTAAGCGGTTACATTTCATTAAGTAAGTATGAGTAATGAAAAGTAGGACAGCACTCCAATAAATACATTTTCTATTTTTACACTGTGTACACATTTCAGGCAGATGATAAAATGTGTTTTTTGTTATATATTTCACTGACGAGTTTGACCACATTAACACTGCTAATCAAATGCAAAAGAGTGACAGGAACATATTTGAGCATTTAAAAATCAATAAATATAATACAGCATTTAAACTGTGACCTATTCAAATTGACGATACCTAATGTCAGGCTGGCATAACGACATCGGAATAATGAGACAGGCAACACACTGGAATATCTGATGAAATAGTGCTCTTATAGGTGGTTTTTCCTTCGGAGACAAAGTTATAGCCTAGTTTATCAACAAGTTTGAGCTTCTCTCTTCAGTTAACCACAACGCATTCTGTTACGTTGTTTGCACGCCAGCTGGCACTACTAAAGAATATAGAAATATATAGTATATTTTTGATTCCTCTGATTTACAATTCCTCATTAAAATGTTTTCCCAGCACACTTTTGTTAGATTCCTAGTTCCATTTGATGGATGAATGTCAGTCCTACATCAGTTCATGGAATGGGACAAATACTTTGTTAAAAGTAGCTTGAACATTGATGTTATTTGACAAGGTAATCCATACTCTAATTCACTGTTGTCCAATCTGAACACTGGGACTTATCAGGTATCCTAGAAACAAAGACTACAGTCATGTGAAAAAATTAGGACACCCTTTGAAAGCATGTGTATTTTGTAACATGTTTTAATATATGGTTATTTAATCTCAATTTTAACAATACAGAGAGATTAAAGTAATACAACTAAACAAGTAAAACTGAAGAAAAGTCTTTTCAAGATCTTCTGTAAATGTAATTCTACAAAAATGCCTATTCCAACTGAGGAAAAAGTTAGCACACCCTCACATGTATGCCCTCTTAAAATGGCTCAAATCACACACAGGTATATCACACCAGGTGCACATAATTAGTAGATCGTTACTCAGCATTTTGAATGAGGCTTGCCCCATCTAAACCTCAAACATTTAGTTTGGTGTGCTCCTGACTGTTGAAGTGAGAGTGAGCACCATGGTGAGAGTGAAAGAGCTGTCAGAGGCCTTCAGAAAAAAAAAAATGAATGTTACTAAAAACAGATATAGATACAGATAATGTTTCCTATACAGAAATGTAAGCACCACACCTGCCCACCAAGACACCAGCCTATCTGTCACTGGGTCAGCTGTAAACATTCTAAATGATCTGTGACATAATTTTAACTGTACCTTCTTTATCATAAATAACTGATCAAATCTGTCATGGGCTGTTAAATGTTCTGATAACCAGGGTTACTATTTATCTTTGTACATAAAGATAAAGAATTACAATTACACTTATCTTTTAAAATGCTGCCATTAAAAGTTGAGAGTATAGCTGCACCTATATAAAAATATTACTAGAATGCAATGAGAGGAAATGATTACAAAGTGCAACACTGATACTGCTGAATAAATGACTGAGCAGTGAGAGAGTGACCACTGAGACTGACATGCGTCTCTGCTGTTGACGAGCAGAGCAAGGCTGAATGCATTTCTTTGTTTGAGCATAAGCACTTAGGTGCTGTGTCTTTTCTCAGAAAGATAAGTGTGATGCAGTGAAGTGAAATTAGTCACTCATAAACTATTCTAACATGCTCAGCAAATGTGTGGCAGAAATGAACTGCCACTGTGCCAAAACAGAAGCACAACATGTTAAACTTCAACTGCACCTATTGTGAACATTATAAATGCTAACTTCTATAATGTTTCTTTTTGTTGTAGTGCAAAATAAAAAAGACTGGATTTAGTATTTTCTGTTTCTCAAATGGCAGATATGGCTTGACTGAAGTGCAGAAACTTGGGTATTAAATGAGCAAATATATTTAGCATTTGTAGGGCACTGAATCTGAATCTGAAAGACGTCACTGCTGGCAACTGCACATCGTTAGCTTTGGATGGACTGCTGATGAAAACTAGTATGTCCTGTGGAAATAGCAGTAATTTTGGAAATAACTAAAAGAAAGAAATGTTTCTGTTCATTCAATGCAGAAAGCAAAGGCCCCTGTTCCATCCCCAGACAGACATAAAAAGTGAAAAGGCAGTGCTCGTCTCTTCTTTGCTCAAGGGCACCTTAAAAACCTGAGGTACCCTTGAGCATGGCTTATTTCTCTTAACAGCTCGGGTGGAGCTGCTCAGTTGCCAGACATTAGTGTGGCAGCTTCCAAGTGTAAATGTCTGAGCGAGGAGCAGTGTGTTCCCAGAAAAGAGCATCCTTTAGCTCATTGAACTGACACTGGGTAAATAAAGGTTAAGTGAGTTAACAGCCATGCAAGCAGCTCTATTAGCCTGTACCTGGCTACAGTAGTCCTTTGAACTAGATGCTAATGTTAGCATGCTGACAAGCTCACAATGACAAGGGTAATATTAGCAGGTACTTAGTATAGCATACTAATTAGGCCTAGTGTTGAATGGTATGAGAATGACATTAATTTAGCAGGTATTTGGTTGTCAACCTAAGTACTGAACCGATTTGAACCTGATAGTGATGTTAAATGAAAAGTGAGGGATTCATCAAAGTTATAAGGAATTTATCCTGAGGAGAATATGAATGTATGTGCCACATTTCCACGGCAATCCATTCAATAGTCTTTAAGATATTTCACTCAAAACCAAAAGGATCAAGCTGATGGCACCTCTGCTTGAAGAATCAGGAGATCAACAAAGTAATTAGGATTCATCATCTGGGCCTAGAGCAATCAGATCCGATCAGATTTAGAAATCCAAACTTTTGTCATCCAGGATCAGACAACACGGCCAGATTTTGTCCTGGTATTTCAATGCAATTCAGGATAAGATCGCCCAGATCCAGAAGAACAACGTAAAACACACAGTGTAGCAGTTTTCCTCCAAATGAGAGACTGAGTGGTTGTGCAGTGTGAAATTCTACTGTCCAGTTACTTTTGAAGGTTGATCACAAATGATGAACTTGTGCCTTTTTTGTTGAAGATGTTTTTGTTTAATCAAAATTACATTTGTGATTGACAAAGTCATTATCTGGTTGAATACACTATTCTGAGATATGTGCAAGAGGCCACTGCGAATAAACAGTTTACAAACTTTACCATCTTATTTATATTGAAACTAATTTTTAAATGAATTGTATAGTATGTGTTGCTCTGGTAATCCATCCCTCCAGTGGGATGGGTTATCCAGACTTTCGGATCAAACGGATCTCAATCCAGATTAAAGTTTGGATTTGATATAAAAGTAATCCCATTTTATGTGTTACTGTAAGTGGGACAGCCAGCCACCTGCTTTATCCTACCTGTTGAAGATCTGTTGGTGGTGCCACCATGATTAATACTGTGGTTTTCTTTGGACTGTCATTACTCTTGCTGATGTCTTTACTGTCCAAGGAGTGCACATTCTTTTCCTGGAGACCAGCATGCAGCTCTCTGCAGTTCCCAGTAGCCCCAGTTTCTTTCTCCTCTGGCAACTGGGTTTGAGCAGGCTTACACTGTGTGCTGCCAAAAAGGCTCTGGCATAGGAAACTCAGCATGTCCGGCAGCATCTTCAAACTACTGTGTCTGAGTGACTGCTCTCTCTTAACTGCCTGTTAGGTGAAGGCAAGAAGTGGAACTAGCAGAACAAGTACAGAAAGCTGATGACAACGTGGGGCTGCAGAGAGGGGTTTTCCACTTTCTACTACCTCATTGCTCCAGCTCAGTGTCTCATCTTCTTACTGGATCCTTTTCAGATCTTTTTGTCAGTTGACAGATGTCCAGGCACAGCAGCACAGCAGGGTTAAAAACAAAAAGCTCCTAGCTAACTCTTGCCATGCAACTTCTGAGGCATGATTCATTCTCCATTTATCAAAACTAGAATTTCATATTGTAAATATCTCATGTTGAGACTGATTAAATGAGGCAGCAGACAGACAGAATTTGCCACTTAGCTGGCATCAGTATCAGCAGGCAGAGAAATGCAGCAATGAGAACCCTCCTAAACCTGCATCCTCACTGCAGTTGAGCCTGGCCAATCACCGCAGCCCGTACTGGCAGGTCCAAATGTTGAGCCATAGAACGAGCCCCTCAACCAATGGAGGACAGGATAGCAGTGTGGACATTAATTTATGCCTTCAATTGTCAGTCAGACTAGAAGGAGGGGGAGGGTGAAACACAGAGGTTCTCCTCTGATACACGTCCTTCGCAAAAGAAAATCTGCTAAGTGATCCCTCCCTACTCTCTCTCTCTCACTATCCTCCTGCACTCCATCTGAATCATGCCAAGCACCCGGTGAGCATCCAGCAGGCAATCTCATCCAGGCAACAACCAAGCTCCAGCACATTTTAATTCCCGGCATGTACTGGATTCCTGCAGCTGAGAAAACTACAGTGTGATGCAGCACAGTAGGCCCATCTCTTCACAAAATTTCCTTTACTTCTAACTGCTTTGTGCAGTCCTGTGTTATTGACTGCTATGATGTAAGCTACAGATTAGCAAACTGATCATGGGTTTGTTAGATTTACAGTACTGCAAGTGTGAAAATGATCATGTACTGAAAAATGTTAACAGTGTAGGCGGTGAAGAGGCAGTGGAGGGCCCCCACTTCAAATTTTGCTTTGGGCCAGCTCTGCATTTGAAAACCTGTGGACTATAAAATAATTTTAAAAAGTCTAATTTCCTGGAGTCCAAAGTAACATCTTTAGTTAGCTTAGTTTTTCTGATTAACAGGCCAACACCCACCCGCTCGAGGACGCTTGTTTTCTCAAGGCTTGGTGAGCGCGTGCCCTGTTCTCGAGCCTAAACGCCTTCCTGCTTACCGCCAACGTTCACCGATTGGACTGTGGTCAGCTCGCAAGATAATTGTGGGCCAGGAACATTGCTTTCCTCCACAAAAACACCAAACCCATGCTCTTCCATTTCCTGTCGGCTTCCCTTGAAGGCCACCGCCTGCATGCTCTCCTATCATCATAGCGCCCCCTGTAGCCAGTCCTCTGCTTGTCCTCCTATCGGGGGTCGCCCCTCCTCCTCTACTGGTGCAACTGAAGTCTCTCATTCAGAGCCCAAGGCCATACCTTCTGTTTCCTCTTATTTTCCTCTGCCATCCTGTCTTTCAGGTGCCGGGCCACCCTCTGCTATCCTGTGCTCTCTCCCGTTCATTTCCTCCTTTCCTTCTCCTCCAGGCACTGGGCTGCCTTCTACATTTCCTATCTCTTCTGCAACCAGGCTGTCACCTTTTGCTGGACACTGGGTTATCTGCTCCTTTCCTATGTCTCTTTTGGGCACCAGGCTGCCCCCAATCCTGTTGGCTGCAAGTACCAGGTTACCTGCAGCTCCTGCCACTTACTCTGGCACTATGCCCCTACCCCACATCCATCCGCCCTTTTCGGCAACTCCCTCAATATGGTCTATATCTCAGGACACTCAACCATTCAGTCTGCACTTATTTGTTAAAGGGTTTTGGGAGTCTGCCAGTGCCCAAGAGCGGTGTGGACCTCCTTAACCTCCCCTAAAGCCATCAAGCGCACAAACAGCCAAATATATACAAGCGTTCAATATCCTTATAGTTCATTCATTTGTACTGAGTGAGGGCAGGTTCCTGCTAGTGAAATGGTGAGTGTCAAGGCATGTTTTCTTGGTATCAGGATGAAACTACAGTGTAATGTAGACACAGAGATAACCATAACATATGAAATGAAACAGCATGCTTTAAAAATGTCTGTCAGTTTGATAATGTCCTGGTGTGTGAAATGACTGCCAGGACACTGCTCCAGCAGGGGGATAAAAATACTTTGTGACAAGGCTGAGGATGATGAAAGCTTCTTTGGAGGAGCTGTTACTCTCAAGCTGCTGAACAAGAAACAGGCCATCAAGTTGCATCACTACTGACTGAGCCAGAGATAATATAATAATAATAATAATAACAATAAAGCTTTATTTATATAGCACTTTACAACTCCGGGGAGCAGAAAGTGCTGCACAATAGAACATATGTATCAACTAAAAAACAATACTAGAACAATAAAACCTAAGCAAGAATAAAACACAAATTTCCAAAATTGGAGATTTCCTCCATCAAGTCCCACTGCATGAAATTGTGTAAAATGCAGCATGCCTCTCATAAAATATAATAAATAATAAAATATCCCCAGTTAGCCTGCAACCACCACCACGTCACAACCCCGACCAACACAGCCCCTTGCATTAAAACAAAGCAGGGAGTTGTGCTTTTGCAGGACTAATGTCAACGTACTGTAATGCTAATAGTTGAGGTGTGAAGATGCTGACATTTAACAAATAGCTGGCAATAGCTCTGCAAGCACCTCCCGAGATGTGCTGAAATTTAGCTCCTAGAACTTGTCTCCAAAGCAGGTGGAGAGCAATGTATAGGCCTAGTCATTGAAATGTACTGTACACTATAATGAAAAACACAGCCTGCCTAAAGAAAAGCTCTAGCTATCAAATGATACAGAAAACACAATTCTGAGAGACACTGAAGCTAATCCCATTCTCAGTTACCTGACTGCTTCAAGTTCAGTGAATCATTATTAATAGTTAATCCTGTCACCTCTGTGCTCTTGGACACCTGCTACAAAGTCAAAGGCATGAAGGAGGTACCATTATCCAGGATTAAGTGGCTATCCTCAACAAACAAAGAGAGTTTTCCAGAGAAGCAGGGATTTCCAGTCTGCTACCAGTCCAGACCATATTTGGCCACTAAAGATGTGACAGTAATGGTGAGCTCATCTTCCCTGTACGTAACTGCTAATTTGGTGATGTTGACAGGTGTGTTCTTCACAATGTCATAGTGGCAACTTTACTTGCATTATAATAAGAATCATCCCCCAACCTGCAGCCATATAGCAGGGCAAGGGCATTTAAAGCTTAGGAGGTTTATTTTATTTTACTTTATTTATATATTTTTTGCCTAATGATTTGGTTGTTTGTCATGTACTATAGCTGCTTCATTTCATACTAAAGAAATGCCTAAACGCTGGGATCAAAAACAAAACAAAAAACATCTTGGTGATTTTGCAAGCTGCAAGATAAATTTGACTGGAAAATGACTATTTTAGATGTTGTTAGGTATTTTTAGTCAGACAGATAATTGGTTAGATACTTTATGTATTAGAAATGTTTAGTGGAGATAGGATGTCTAGTTAGACTGTTAAATGCTTAGTCATGCTTATGAGTTTCTACAGGGTACATCTGGTCAAGGATATTAGAGAGAAGAGTTGATGACTGTCAGCAGACAGGATGTTTAATATTATTATTATTATGACGTGTAAAACTGTAGACTTAGCCATAATGTTCTTATGTTTGAGACACAACATGTCACTAGAGGTCGTGAGACTGTTTTTAGCTACACACCACTTAACCAACAGACACACACATTCACACATTGATTTTCTTCATGTTTTGACTACTGCTATGACCAGCTGCAAAGCTGGTGAGAGAGACGTCCCGGTTGACGTTTCTGTGTAGTATGGGGCTAGCCCAACCGAGGTGTTATAATGTATAGGCCTGGTGGGTTCAGGGTCTTTCATCTTACATCTGCCTGCGAGCAGTTTGGAGGTGCAAGATATCTGAGCGTGTAATGTTAATTTTACCTGTGATCCTTTGAATAAATCAGCACTGTTTTGAAGTTACTTGGACTGTCTCGTCTCTCAGAGTCAGCATGGTAAGACGGACCCTACCTTACAATGTCTACATTTAGTTCAGTGACATTCTGGGCAGTGTGTATTAGATCTTGCTTCATACCGAAATGCAGTCACTATAATGCTGTTAAAACATCAATTATATCCTAAACATGTGTCTTATGTCACTGTCTCTATCACTTTCTACTTCATAACACTAACACCTGTTTGTTCCTTGTTCCTTTCTTACAGCATTCATTAGTGTCGTTTCTAACACAGTTATGCACTTGGCAAATGCAGTTTTAATTTTTTTACATCAATTGTTCATGCAATCATAAGACAAAAATGGGGACAGGAAAAGGACACAAAAGCACACAGCTGGGCTGAAATGTCCACTCACCATGAGCTCGTGTTCAGTGCGATGTACCCCCAGTTTCTTCAGCCCAATCGTCAGGTCGTTGACACAAATACCTCCATCGCCGTTCACATCCAGGATCTGGAACAGCACCTTCAGCCTGTGCTCCTGCTCGGGTCCTTCACATATGTCACATGGATGCGATGGCTGGCCAAGGTTCGAGTGCAAGTCAGCGGCCAGGGGCGGGGGGGTGACTGGTTTGGATGGGTAAGTTGATGAGGGGTCCTCGGCGTGTCCGCCTCCACCACCGGGGTCGACCCCTTGGTGGGTGTCGGTCGACCGGCACTGGCAAAATACGCCAACGAGTAAGGGGGTCATTAATGAGCCCTCCTGGTGCATCATGAGTATCCGTCAGTATTCGGCTAGTGAACAGCTTGATATTCTACCAGCTGGTGTCAGTCGCTCAAAGGCTGAGTCAAAGAGCCCCACAGGCCACCGACATGCCTCGAGTCCCGACTTGGTCCCCACACACGTCACGTGTTCTGTCAAATTCTGCTACCTTCTCGTGAACCGAGCCCCCATCCCTCACCCTAACCAGTCAACAACCTTAGCCGCTTTGTGAGTCGTAGGTAACACGTAGCACGCTATGAAAGCAAAAACGGTCAGCCGTCGGTTAGCGTACCAACCCGATATTTTTACCACGAACACAAACGTGAAGTTCACTCGAAACGAAAAAGTGTCTCATTAGTAACTACGTGACAAATTAGCTCAACAAGCTAGCATTTTCCCCGTACTATAACGTTAATAAAAACTTACAGATGCCGAGACGCGGTGATGCGATGAGGAGAATCCTGGGCTGTCCATACCCTAACCCGTCTATTAAAATACTGTTATAGTGCGGCTCATGATATTTTAAAATTGTTACCAATATGATGCAGAGTCAGATATTTAAATGCCGTTAACTTGCCGTTAAGAAGAGAAAAGGCTCGCTCAAGATGAATTGCGCCTCTCCTGGCCAGCGACCGAGAGCAGGGGGCGGTGACAAAGATCTACAGTCAAGACCGACAGAAGCCTTTCACCAGCCCTGTCTGTACAGGAAGTCACAGTAGTACTCACATCCTGTCTGAGCTCCATTTAATAAAATGCCATCAAACCAAACTTTTTTGTGTTAGAGAAAATAAAGAATATAGTATAACTAGTGAATCCATGTCATTTAAAAAAGATAATGTTCTTATTCGTTCATTATATTCATATGTTTATATCAAAATGATTGTAATAATGTTGTAGATCTACCTGCGTGCACATTTTAATGGTCATAGGTGGTGATGCACAGTTTTTCAAAAAAAACAAAACAAAACAAAAACTGTCTGGCTTTAATGTGTAATGCCAGGTCACTATACAAGAACTGACATCACAGCGGCAGCGTGTGCTCTCCCATGCTACACTACAACCTATAGTGTTTTTTATATTTTACATTTTTTACATACTTTTAACATTTCAGTTTATGACTATCTTATACTTTGACCTTTTATTCTGTACCCAAACCTTTACACATATGTCATTAACCATCTTATGTTAATTTTATGTTTTCCATCTGACAGTTCAGCACCACCATACTTGGTAGCACTGTATCAGCAGTAAAGTCCTACAGGTTCCAGGCTCCACCATCTCC